GTGTGGAAGGCTGGAGAGGGATGGCACGAGACAAATGGCTTGGTCATTGTCTTCGGTCCATCCCCTCCAGGGTCCCTAGGGTTGGCCACTGTTGGCAGAGAGGCTACTGGGCTAGATGGACCTTTGGTCTGACCCAGTACGGCCATTCTTATGTTCTAAGCTCAGGGTCGGAGGTCTCACTGGACCACCTTGATTTTCATGCAAACCTGCTCCTGGGTTCGCATGTGGCCTTTGGTGACCAGGCTGACAGCTATCCTGCCCTAGATGGCCACTTTCCTGTGCCTAGTGCGGAGGTCGTGGATGTTGGTGGCCTCCCCCCCCAAACCCGGATGAGGTCCACGATCGCCGCACTAGATCAGGCGACACTGTTTGTCAGTTACATCATGGCTCAGCTACATTGTTACACCTTGAGTCAGCTACACAGCTGTGGCTTTTTAAAAACCAAACTTGCTTTAAGAATAAAAATATTGGAAAATTGATTTCTCTCTTGCCCTATACACCCGTCAGGGGTGTAGTAGCATGCACTGTGATTAACACATGGGAGTGGAGCCAGGGCTCTGGGATTTAGGCCCCAGTTCTGGGAGAGGAGTGGGGTTCAGTAGTTAACACATGGGAGGGGCCCAGGACTCTAGGATTCAGTGTCTAGCTCTTGGATGGGAGTGGATACTAGTGGTTAGATCACACAAATTTGAAAACATGACTTCTGGGCTCTCAGCTGTGGGAGGGAATGGGGTCAATAGTTCGGTTTAAGGGTATGTCTACACTACAAAGTTAATTCGAACTAACAGCTGTTAGTTCGAATTAACTTTGTAGTGTAGACATACCCTTAAACCGAACTATTGACCCCATTCCCTCCCACAGCTGAGAGCCCAGAAGTCATGTTTTCAAATTTGTGTGATCTAACCACTAGTATCCACTCCCATCCAAGAGCTAGACACTGAATCCTAGAGTCCTGGGCCCCTCCCATGTGTTAACTACTGAACCCCACTCCTCTCCCAGAACTGGGGCCTAAATCCCAGAGCCCTGGCTCCACTCCCATGTGTTAATCACAGTGCATGCTACTACACCCCTGACGGGTGTATAGGGCAAGAGAGAAATCAATTTTCCAATATTTTTATTCTTAAAGCAAGTTTGGTTTTTAAAAAGCCACAGCTGTGTAGCTGACTCAAGGTGTAACAATGTAGCTGAGCCACGATGTAACTGACAAACAGTGTAGGTAGGTGACACATGGCCAGTGACACATGTGGGGCTCCCTCCATGGGGACACATGGAGAAACTGACACACAATGTGTAATAGGCAGAGTTTTGCTGTTGCAGCCAGGAGAGATGCGCATTCCTCTGGCCCCTAGGGACTTCCCCAGGCTAAGGGTGCCCCTTTAACAAAGCCCCTGTGTTCTGGGTCAGCTCTTCACTGCACACTGTTGTTCCTCCCTTATGCTCCCCCAACTGGAGCCATGGCGCTGTGAGCACTGGAAGCTCTGTTCCTGCACTTCCTCCACCTGGAAGCTTGACACCCACAACTCCTCCCATGGACATAAACGAAGTAGAGGGAACACTGCACACATGGTGCAGATGACACACAGATTGTAGCTGACATACAAGTTGTAGCTGACACATGCTGTAGGTGACACACAAGTTGTAGCTGACACATGCTGTAGGTGACACACAAGGTGTAGCTGACAAAGTGTAGGTGACACACAGGGTATAGGTGACACACAGTAACTGATTCATAAAGTGTAGCTGACACATAAAGTGTAAATAACACACAATTTGTAGGTGACACACAGTACTTATGACACCCATGCAGGTGACACACAAGGGGTAGCTGACACACATGATGCAGGTGACACACAAGGTGTAGGTAACAAACAGGGTCTAGGTGATACACAGTGCAGATGACACACCTGGTGTAGCTCTCACACAAGCTGTAGCAGAAACTCAAGGTGCAGCTGATACACACTGTAGGAGACACAGAGTTCAAGTGACACACTGGTTATAGTTCTCACAGTGCAGTACAGTTCTCAAGTGACACACATAGTGCAGGTCACACACAGGGTACAGGTGACACTGTAGCTAACACACAAGGTGTAGCTGACACACAAGGGGTAGGTGATGCATAAAGTGTGGCTGACACACACACATGGCTGGTGACACACATGCTGTAGGTGACACACCCACTGTAGGTGACATATAAAGTGTAGCTGATATACACTGTGGGTAACAGTGCAGGTGACACACTGAAGTTGACACACACACAAGGTGTAGCTGACACACAGGCTGTAGGTGACACACACACACGGTGTAGCTGACACACATGGTGTAGGTGACACACACATGGTGTAGCTGACACACACATGGTGTAGGTGACACACACATGGTGTAGCTGACACACACATGGTGTAGGTGACACACACATGGTGTAGCTGACACACACATGGTGTAGGTGACACACACATGGTGTAGCTGACACACACATGGTGTAGGTGACACACACATGGTGTAGCTGACACACACATGGTGTAGGTGACACACACATGGTGTAGCTGACACACACATGGTGTAGCTGACACACAGGCAGTAGGTGACACACACACGGTGTAGCTGACACACAGGCTGTAGGTGACACACACACGGTGTAGGTGACACACACACACGGTGTAGCTGATACACAGGCTGTAGGTGACACACACCCGGTGTAGCTGACACACAGGCTGTAGGACACACACGGTGTAGCTGATACACAGGCTGTAGGTGACACACACCCGGTGTAGCTGACACACAGGCTGTAGGACACACACGGTGTAGCTGATACACAGGCTGTAGGTGACACACACCCGGTGTAGCTGACACACAGGCTGTAGGACACACACGGTGTAGCTGATACACAGGCTGTAGGTGACACACACCCGGTGTAGCTGACACACAGGCTGTAGGACACACACGGTGTAGCTGATACACAGGCTGTAGGTGACACACACCCGGTGTAGCTGACACACAGGCTGTAGGACACACACGGTGTAGCTGATACACAGGCTGTAGGTGACACACACCCGGTGTAGCTGACACACAGGCTGTAGGACACACACGGTGTAGCTGATACACAGGCTGTAGGTGACACACACCCGGTGTAGCTGACACACAGGCTGTAGGACACACACGGTGTAGCTGATACACAGGCTGTAGGTGACACACACCCGGTGTAGCTGACACACAGGCTGTAGGACACACACGGTGTAGCTGATACACAGGCTGTAGGTGACACACACCCGGTGTAGCTGACACACAGGCTGTAGGACACACACGGTGTAGCTGATACACAGGCTGTAGGTGACACACACCCGGTGTAGCTGACACACAGGCTGTAGGACACACACGGTGTAGCTGATACACAGGCTGTAGGTGACACACACCCGGTGTAGCTGACACACAGGCTGTAGGACACACACGGTGTAGCTGATACACAGGCTGTAGGTGACACACACCCGGTGTAGCTGACACACAGGCTGTAGGACACACACGGTGTAGCTGATACACAGGCTGTAGGTGACACACACCCGGTGTAGCTGACACACAGGCTGTAGGACACACACACACACGAGGCGATGGCTGCCAGAGAGGCCCGGGATTGGGTCCCTCAGCAGCTCCTCGAGCCACGCCCCCCGGCAGGAAGCCCCCGCCCTTAGGCCACGCCTCCACGGATAGTCCCGCCTGCTTCCTGGTGCCTGGCTGCCCTCTAGGCCACGCCTCTCCCCCATCTGCTCACCCTGTTCCTACGTCACCGCTGCCCCTCCCTCACCGAGTCCCGGTTGCTGTAGTGACCAGGCCCCGCCTCCCTGCGGCCTTTTCCGCTGGCCTACAGTTGCGGCGCGTTCCTTTGCAGCAGCGGCGGCCGTAAAGCGCGGAGCGGGCCGGGGACTGCGGCGGCTCCTTGGCTTCTTCTCGCTGCTGGGGAGAAGCGCCCCGCCCCCTCCGCGCGTGAGTGACACGCCGGACCCTGGGTCGGCAGAGGAGGGGGCGGGGTCGG